TAAAGGGATGTCAGACATTTTTCAATATCACATTTCCTTATAGCCTTAAACAAAATAGGGTAAATGCACTTCATATATGAATGATTTACTGGTAATCTCGAAAGCATACTTATAAACGAAAAATAAGCAACGTAGTCTTCATACATTTGATTAAACATAGTCGATTGTTAGAGCAATTACAACTTTGCTTTCTCGGCAATCCAACCGCAGAATGTAATTTGGGAAAGTGCCTTCTGAGATTATACGCTGTACTATCATAGTTCGAGTCTCGCTGAAGGGTATTCATAAGGCTTAGGCGAGGTCGAAATTGCACTCCACTTCAGCCTGGATGAGAATACCTTTTGGGGAGGCAAGGTCATGTGAAATTCAGTGGAAGCGTAGGGTATACTCATATCATTGTGGAAAAAAGCAACTTATAGCCACATTAATACTAAGTTTTTAGTGTATCACTCATCTCAAAAAAAGGTTTACTGATTTTGTAATGCTTTTTGTTATGGTTTATCGTTAAAGATGGAGATTAGGATAAGATAAAGATAGTTAGTTTCCAGCTTAGTTAAGACCATTTACTTACCGACTGGAGGTTTGTGACTCCATGATAATGAGGTAGAAAGTGAGGTGATAGAAAGTAAGGACTTTAGTTTAGAATTAACATTATTATCAATTTACCCACATTGACTTCATTACTTTATCCACTCAGAATGCCTGAAGATTTACAGAATCCTCTTCAAAATGCTTTTTTCAGTAAAAAAACATTTGAGATTATCAATAATTCTGGAAAAAGAATTTTGTCATCCTTACTGATTTAATCGAAGATATAAAGACCAAAAATGTGTGGCGTTTTTGTGTGGTCGCAGTCTCCTTTCGTTGTATAGAAGTTGTTTGACCTTGTTTTCGCAAATTGCTCATATTGGTAGGAAGACGTAGAAAAACGCACGTAGTCTGGAGTCCATTGTATGCATCATCATTTCCAGATTAGGACCGCAGACTGGTGAAAAGTGTTTTCTTCTCCTTTGATATCACCCTGATATTCCATTTCCTTAGTAATGGTCGCAATTGTTTGCTCAGTTCTGATAAGGGCAGCAAATCTACTTCTGGTCGCTATCCTGATTCCTGATCTGATTTTCATAAAATCCAAGTTGAAATCGGCCTTTATAACCCCTACATTTTTTCTATAAATGATCTGGGATATCCGTTACTAAGGCAAATCCCTATCAGTTTGTCCAAATCCTCGTCCCAGAACTCATGTCCGTTAGTCGTAAACTTCTGATAATCAAACCCCTCAATATTCCGATCTTCAATCTGTAGTTATGATGAGACTGAAAATTAAGGATTATTCCAAGTTGTGAAAACAAGGTCATACAGCTTCTATACAAAGAAAGGAGACTGCGACCACACAAAAGGCTACATCATCTTGGTCTTCATACTTTCGATTAATCTATGCAAGTAAGATAGACAAACAATGCATTTATTACAGCTGAACGAAGAAGACAATTGTAGGTCAATCCTGCCCCTTGTCCTTTTTAAATTTTTGTAAACATTATGGTATCGTTTCCCGATTTTTCAATCTAATGAGGAAGTGTCATTCGGACACAGTTAATGAAATACTTTATCACGCCTCTATCTAGAAATTCGACGGAAGTTACGAGACTGAAATGCGTAAGCTATTTAAGTTCATAAATCTTAAGTCTAGATTAAGGAAGGATCTAGGCAGGGTTCTCACTTTGGATGATTCCCATAAACACTGGAGCATGACAGACCAGAAGTCACAGAGTGTTTGGAATCTGATAAATAAGCGGCATGACAAGAAATTGCTTAGCTATGGGATAATAAGAAAGAACAAGACCAA